TCAGCCTCTTGAAGACAAAAGATATATCTTCTTCATACTAAACAGTAGTTTAATGAAAAAAAGCAGAAATAAATGGAGTTCACAAGAGGTTCTGTGTTTTCCTTCAAAAAGAGATATTCATGGGAATATAAATATTACTTTAAGAAAGTTTTACCTTGATTCTCTCTTTTTACTATGTCAAATGTGATAATCATTGGCTATATTGACCTCAATAGCAAAATCAATACCAAGGGAGGAAAAATATTATCATTTAAAATGTTGTACAAAGTAGTTATTTCGTTCTAACAATTTTACTATCTATGTATAGCTTAAAATAGGGTTTTGAGAAATCTTGTATTGTTTAGCATGGTTATCTGAAAAGAACAACATGCCTTTAAAAGGGAATGTGCATAAAGATATTCTAACCTGTTTGGTGCTGACCAGAGGGAAAGGGGGTGGGGGGAGGTAGAAGAGGATTTTAAGGGGGTGAATGGTGATGGAAGATTGACTTGGGGTGGAGAACACAGAATGCAGTATACAGATGATGAATTAGAGAGCTGTACACTGGAAACCTGTATAACTTTATTAACCAATGTCACCCCAATAAATTCAATAAAAATTTAAAAAAGATATTCATAACCTCAGCAATACAAAATCTTATGTTATTTTTAATGGGTTTTCATGCTTTACTCTGCAGAATTTATGGTCTTTCCAGTAAGACTTTTAATATTATGCAAAAAGATGGTGTTCCCAGAACTCCCTCAAAGTGAAAAATCCAGATGGAAGAGATTAAAAGATTATGTGGTTGAGGTGAGAGTAAACTCAATGTAGGGAACCACGAGTTCTCAGGCATCCTCAGGGAATGTGGTACATGGGCTAAGCCTTGCTCAAATATTTTTAATATAAGCATTTGAAAGAAAATAAGCATTAATGGATCTTTACAAATAATTGAAACAATTTAATGAGGTGGAAAAAAAATCAAAATCCAGTATAAAGTTTATATGAAGTACAGTCACGTGAAGCAAGAATAAGCCACTAGTAAGACCTTGCAGCTTGTGAACCTATTGTACAACTCGTTTTAGAGGAGCAAGTTTAAAGAAACCATCTGAGAAGAGTAAAGTTAAGGTTCTGGTCTAAACAAATGCTGTGAATAGTCCTTATAATGAAGAGGTAGATATAAGTGGAAGAAAGAAGAGGGCTTAGGGCAAATGTGAGTGTAATAAAGACCCCGATGTTCTCAGAGACAGCTGTTGACTCGAAAGAGGACATTTATTAAAATATATACATATTTATAGAGTTTTCAGCCTATTGGTATAATAGCAAGCAAAAGACCAGAACCACAATTCAGAAACATACATATATTAGGAAAAAATGCCCTCCAGAGGTCAAGAAGAGCGACCCTCTGTCCTATGCATGGATAATATCAGTAGTCGTACATAACCTTCATTTGTGTTTCCATAAAGGTGTGGGGAGAAGTTTCTCATGAGCTGGTGGCTAAAGTTGCCTTTAGCTCAAAACAATCTACATGCAATAAAGGCCCACCTTGGAGTGACTCATTCTAGACCCTCACAGAGGTTTTTATTACATGAATTTGCTCTGATACAATAGAAAATCACCTAGGGCAAAGTGATGTTTCCTAGTCTTTCAGAGCATGGGATATTTAGAAAATAACCCACAGGTCTATTGTTCTCCAACACCCCATTGGGACTCTCTGGGGTATTTGATTACCATCTTAGGAACTGTATGGAGAAGTTGTGGAGAGAAAAGTTAACTGAAGGTCACAGTGCTAGTGTTAGATCCTGAGGTGGATGGACCTTGCTTGCTATTTGACATGGGGGATGTAACACAGGGGAAGGAGAATATAATATAGGGGAAGTGCACAATTGCTTCTATGGTAAGGTGTGATCTTTTCTTTCTATCTGAATTTTGAACAAAAGTTAGCATCCTTTGTTTATAATTTTCTTTCACAAGCATCCTAGTCTCTGAAACTATCAGACTCTGCAGCCTTTCTTTACTTTTCCTCTTACCTTATTTGAAGACTTATCTGATTGCTGGTATTCTCTCTGGGTTAAAAATGACTGATATTTTAAATAATGCTTCTTAAAGTTATAATAAATAGTAATGCTTCTTGAAAGAAAAATTTACAGCACTCCAAAGAGTTGATAGATGTACAAGATTAGAATCATTGCTGGCTGTTATATCACTGAAAGTTTTATTTAGATAATCATAAAATTTATAGGAACATATGAAAAATATAGGCAATTGAATAAAAGTAGAAGTGATTAGATGTCTCCAAACAAAGGTGATTTATTTTACTTATAATATATTTGGTGATACTAGAAAAAGAAAAATTATACAACTACATCTGAAGTGCCTCTTTTTCTTTTTGAGAAAATGTTCTATTTCTTTAGAATTAGTTGGTCTCTGATCTGTTGGTAATGGAATGATGGATAGTCATTATTTTGCTAAATCTTAATTCCATGTGCAGTTGTAGATCTTCATGACCCCAAACACCATCTTGATATTTCTTAGACTCCCCAGTGGTATCTAAAATGGTCTTATTAATAAATGCAATATTTATTTCATCACATATTTTTCTTGTGTGTCTTTTCTGTCCCCTCTGTTGAATATTTCTGTGTTTTCCTGTGCACCATCCTTAATGCACTGGAGCCCAGGAAGTTTGAAAGATCTTACAAAGTGAGAAAGAAACTTCTATCCCCTTTTGGTGTTATCTTCTATTTGAGTGTTATTAAAGTGTTTTATAGAATACACAGAGTTTTTAGTAAAATAGCTCTTTCAGGTTTTAATTACAAGTCTGAATTCTGCCTTCTCCAACTCCAAATTTTTCTCAGTCCAGTGTGAGAGCTGAGTTTAGGTAGATCTAAATAACAGGGAACAACTTATACTCTCCAGTGTTCCTCCTTTCTTTTGATCAAGGCATAATTCCTGGATCAAGTGTGCCATGTCTGAATATCTATGTCTTGGTTGGAAGTTCTTTACTGGGAGGCTCCTGAGTGCCTCAAACAAGTCTCCCCTCAGCTTCTCACCAAATCTAGTAGGATCTCAGATATGGGGTTCCTCTGTTGCCTGCATAATTTTGGAGTTGAATGGTTCCTTAGATTCTTCTGATTTAGTCTTGTATTTCATGTTAAGTAACTAGTAGCCAGACCATCTAAAAGAAAATTTGATTGAGTGGTAAAGGCTTCTGAAATTGTTCCTATAGCCATGATAAATAGTAGAAACGAATGACTTGAAGTTTCAGGTATGGTCTACTACTTAAAGTACGTAATGTCCTTTCAAGATTTGGAGGCACCTATAGAACTGGTAAGTTTTATCAATGGTGATGGCTTTTTAGAAAAGTTAAAAGGATATAAATGCAATTACAAAACTAAAAAAATGGTTTTGGAGATTAAACCAGTTTAAACTTCCTCATTACACTGCCCAGATATTTGAAACCTTAAAGTATTCTAGTCTACCCCTGTGTGTAGCAGAGAACTAGAAAGGAGATGACAATCAGTGTAATTGCCACTCCTAGCCTCTATCAGGAACAAGAGAAAGAAAAATTGTTCTTTAGTGTTTTTCTTTCCCAATCACTTCCCCCCCCTAATTCTCATGCTGAAGGACACAAATGAATTAATTTATTTTCCTGAATGCCTCAAGATCTCTACCATAAGCCTGTCACTTTTAGGCAATACCTCCATGCCATGGTACTATTATTCTATTCTGTACCCTATGAAAAATAACTTTCTGCAAACTGACATATTGAAAATACTTGAACAACAAATTTGTGTCTCTTCCAGGAATGTTTATGTTATGGCTCACCATGACTTAGCTTGAAAGAGCTCTGATGTTGGGATTTGGGATATTAGGGATGGGTTGATGGGGTGATGTGTGGGCAGAACTGTGTTCTCACAATCCATTAAATCCTATGAAAGTGGTTGTCAATGTGCTTTCTCAATGTGAAGCTGATGCTGTTCAGGACACACTGCAGTTGCGGACTCTATAAGAAAAGCAATATAGCATATTAAAAAGAGCATGAGATTTGGGTTTCTGATTCAACATTTCCCACTCTATGATCTTGGATAAGTCTTGTTATTTCATTAGTCAGTAGAACTTGCTAGTAACATCTACCTCACTGGGTTTAGTCAAGAGAAAATAGTGAGATATTGCAGTTTTGGGTTCTTTATGAACTGTTACATGCTATGGTGAAAACAGGCCAGAACTGGGAATATAGGATTTTATTTCCATATATACACATGTATAGAGAAGTTCCACATTAGATACATAGCTACTTTAAAAAATAACATATACATATGAACATTTTTACATAAATTCTCTTATGTACAACAATAATCTGTATTTACATTGTTTTTTATCACTGACTTGGAGATTTATAATTTATACCATTATGTAGAGATTCAGAGGGCTAGATATAAAGAAAGGAGGAATATTTGAGTACTTTAAAAGCTCTGTGAAATTAAAGAGCATTTGTCTTTCTCTGTATGATTTATTGTACATAATAAGTCTAGCATAATATTATCTAGCATAATACTGTCTAGAGTTATCCATGTTGTCACAAATGGTAAACTTTTTGTGGCTGAATAATATTTTATTGTATATATGTACCACACCTTCTTTATCCATTTATCTATCAAATTCCCATTTTAAATCTGAAACTAACATACTATTTTATGCCAACTACACTTTAATAAAATATAATAAGTAAAATAACAAAAAATAAACCTCCATATTCCAGTGGCCCTAAGACTTATCTCCTTTGATCAGTGAATTTGGTTTCAAGCTTTTGGATAGAGTATAGTCTGAGCAAGTAAATATTGTTATAGTCAAAAAGGAAACTATACAAGCACATTTCTGTGAGGCAATGATGACAGTTCCATAGAAAGACAGGGTGGGGCAAAAGGAAAATAAAAAAAGTACAATCCTGACAATAATTTGCATTTTTATCAAGATGAAAGTCAATCATTTAAAATCATATCAATATTTATTATTATTATTTGTAGATGGGGCACACTGAGAGGAGCCAAAGGGCGGAAAGAAAAATTTTGGGTATGTAACTCTACTTGAACTTCTACTGTGAAGTAAATATTTTAGAACTGCCTGTATCTCTCCTCCCTGCTTTGTATTATTTAGCCACATCCTCAGTCACTGTACTATTGTTTATAATACTGGCATTTTCTCCAACACAAAACTCATTGTAATAATTAATATTATAGTGATAGTTTTCCTAAATTACTATTATCATAAATTGTAAAAAAGGTATTTTTCAAAGTGAGAATCAACAGAAAAAAGTTTTCTATTATCATCTATATTAGATAAACTTAAGTAATGGTTACATTACCAGTGGAAGTGGGGTTCTTAGGGTACTTCTGGAATAAGAATTTCCTCCCACAGGAGAATGACGTATTGTAGAAAGCTATATTTCTGTGGAATTACCCGCCTGAGTTTCCTTGGTCCCATTTCACTTTGTGCTGGCAAGGAAGAAGCGTGGCTTCAATAAGGCTAAAATAAAAGCCAGTTTCCAGAGATTTCTTTCCATATCTGCACACTCCAGTCCAGCATCAGGCTAGCTTAATTTGTGTTTCCAATTGTCCTCCATCAGTCCACCCCATGTGGGGTCCACAGGCCCACATGGCTATGGAGGAAACACAGGTGAATGCAGGGAAGCAGGAACAAGAGAACTCCAAAAGCCAAGAGCCACAAGAGCAAGCTCCTTTTTTGCGGGGATTACGTATCCCCAAATTTTCACAAGTTTGCAGTGGCTCTGCCTATTCTGGTGAATGATCTCTATTTCCAGGTTTTATTGACAAGTACCTTCCCTAGGACACCTCAACTTCACTGTGTGTACGCCAATCCTCCTCGCTGTTGTCTAGTCCCTTCCCCCAGTGATCTGCAGGGAGTGGGCCAGTGGTTCCCTGGGGAGTGCAAAATTGCAGCTTCCTGGTGAAGCTGCCCAAATGACATGCCTATAATGTCTGGCCATCCCTTTACTCTTTTCTTATCATTAATAACTAGCTAATACAATTGTATCAGTTAGACTTATATATGTTAATCGGCTTTGTATTCTTACTGTATTTTTGCTATAGATGATGAATTTATAAAATTTATATATTTTATATATTTATATATAGGGATTAAGTGCTTTGTTTTTGTTTTTGTGAATTATAACATGTACTGGTTCCTTTATGGAGAAAGAGCAAATGTCTACTATAAAAAATAATAGAAAGTTACATATACAAAATAGTTTGAAAAAAATTAAAATATTTACCTAAAATATTCAGTTGATTATAATAAACTATGATGAATTGTGTCAAGTCCTAATATTATATATCTTTTTTTTCAGAAATAATATAAGTTTACATGATAATATTTATTTGAATTTGAATGCATGTAATAGAGGGCTTATTATAACTTGTAAAACACTAAATATTAGAACTTGTACTCATCAGAGTGACTCTTGTTATTTAGATTTCCCCACAAGGCACTTATAAAACTCAATCACCCAAGTACATGGTCATACCTGTATCTGTCTTGATATATAGGAGATTTTAAGTAGAATGACGCATCTTTGTACTTAAACCCAGCTTTCTTAGGTATCATTTTTCTCATTAAGATAAAGTTTGAAGTAGCCAAACATTAATTTTCAAGTGTCAAAATTCATAATATGTGAAAGAGGATATGTTATTTGAATATGTACAATTAAGTTTCTGAATGAGATTTTAATTAAGTGAATTTGAACAGTTATTCAATCTCATAATATAATATTTAAAGGCAAAACAAGTTTGTTGATTACTATATCTCACAACAGTTCTTAGCATATAGCACTCAAGACTATTCATTGAGCAAATATGAATGTGTTGAGTGAATATGAATGAACGTTACCCTTGCCCTTAGGAATATAAATATGTCTTTTCAAGGGCCAGATAAATATCAGATAATATCTTCAAAAGATGGGCTTCATCCTTTTTGACATGTAAATACCAAGGGAGATAATGTTCCAGTACTGCTGGCACCCTGGGTCTTAATTTAGGACCTGTCTGGTCTCTAACACTTTGGCCCTCTTGGGGAGATAAGAGAGATTTTATTATCCTTTGGAATCAGATCACTTAACTAGATAAATGGCTACAGATCTAATTCTTATGGATGTGAAGATAAAGTATTTCTGAGAGAAGTAAAAGCAAACATTTTCTGTCTTTATATCATATGAACAATTTGTGTGTCAGGAGACTAAGTTTGAAGTTTAAGTTTAATGTGTATAAAGTGATGATTTTACATACATTAAGTATTGCAAAATGCTTACCAAGATTAGGTTTGTTAGCCTATCCATCACCTCATATAGTTATCATTTTGTGTGTGTGTGGTGAGAACATTTAAGACATACTCTCTTGCCTGTCTGCCATGGCTCAGAGGTTGAGCATTGACCTATGATCCAGGAGATCTCAGTTCGATTCCTGGTCAGAGCACATGCCCAGACTGCAGGCTTGATCCCCAGTAGGGGACGTGCAGGAGGCAACCGATCAATGACTCTCATCATTGATGTTTCTATCTCTCTCTCCCCCTCCCTTCCTCTCTCTGAAATCAATAAAAAAAAATTTTTAATAAAAACAAAGATATAGTTTCTTAGCATCTTTCAAGGTTACAATATATTATTACCCATAATCACCATGCTGTATATTAAATCTTCAGAACTTATTCATCTTAAACTAGAAGTTTGTACCCTTTGACCAACATTTTCCCAGCAAACTGGATATAGATGAAATAAATAAGTTCCTGAAAACATACAATATACCAAGACTGAAACATGAAGAAATAGAAAATCTTAACAGAACAGTGAGTAAAAAGATTGAATTAGCATTCAAAAGCTTCAAACCCAGGACCAGATGGTTTCACTGTTGAATTCTACCAAACATTAAACAAAGAATTAATGCCAATTCTTCTCAAACGCTTCCAAAAAATTGAATAGTACACTCCCAAATTTCTATTACGAGGCCAGAATTAACCTGATACAAGGCTAGGTAAGGATACTACAAAAAAAGAAAACTATAGAATAATATCCCTGATGAACATAGATTCAAATTATCAACAAAATACTAGCAAACTGACTTTACCAGTACATTTGAAAGGATGATACATCATGATCAGGTTAGATTTATTCCTGGGATGCAAAGATAGTTCAACATATGCAAATCAATAAATGTGATATATCATACTAATAAAATGAAAGATAAAATTTATATCATCATTTCAGTTCATACAAAAAAAAGCATTTGACAAAATGACAAAATTCAGCATCCATTTATGATAAAAATACCCAGAATATTGGGTATAGAAAAAAATTACCTTAACATAATAAATGCTATATGTGATAAACCCTCAGCAAACATTATACTCAATGATGGAAAATGGAAAGCTTTTCTGCTAAGATCAGGAACAAAACAAGGATGCCTAGTCTTACTTCTCCTATTCAGTATAATACCGGAAGTCCTAACCAGAGCAATCAGGCAAGGAAAAGAAATAAAAAGTATGAAATTAGAAAGGAAGAAGTGAAGCTCTCTCTGTTTGCAAATGATATGATCTTACAGATAGAAAACCCTAAAAACTTCATTGAAAATCTATTAAAACTAATAAATGAGTTTGGTAAAGTTGCAGGGTACAATATAAACATATAAAAATAAGTTGCATTCCTATATATTAACAACAAACTAAAACAGAGATAATAAAAAAAATCCGATTTACAATAGCATAAAAGGATACTTAGCTCTGGCTGGGTAGCTCAGTTGGCTGGAGTGTTGTCCTATGCACCAGAAGGTCCAGGGTTCAATCCCGGATTGGGGCAGGTGAGGGAGGCAGCCGATCGATGTATCTCTCTCTCATCAATATTTCTCTCTCTCTCTCTCCCCCCCTTCCTACCTCTCTAAAATCAATTAATAAAAAAGATACTTAGGACTAAATTTAACCAAGAAGTTATACTGCATTATAAGAAATTGATAGAAGAAATTGAAGAAGATACAAATAAATGAAAGGCTACCTCATGTTCATAGAGTAGAAGCATTAATACCATTAAAATATCCATAAAATCCAAAGCCATCTATAGATTTAACCCATTCCTATCAGAATTTCAAAGACATTTTCCACAGAAACAGGTAAAACAATCCTAAAATTTGTACAAAACCACAAAAGAGCCCAAAAATTCAAAGCAATCCTAAGAAAGAGCAACAGAGCTGAAGCCATCACACTTTCTGATTTCAAACATTATTATAAAGTTGTAGTAGTAAAAACAGCATGATACTGGCATAAAAATAGATACATAGACCAGGGAAGAGAATGAGAGCCCCAAACATAAACTCACTGACATACAATCAACTAATACTTGGCAAGGAAGCCAAGAAGACACATGGGGAAAGTATAGTGTCTTCAAGAAGTGGTTTGGGAGAAGCTGGATAACCACATACAGAAGAATGAACTTGGGTCCCTGTCTTATACTACCCACAAAAATGAACTTGAAATGAATTCAAGACTTAGTTGTAAGACTGGAAACCATAAGACTTCTAGAAGAAAATGTAGGTGAAAAAATATCCTTGCCATTGGTCTTCGCAAATATATTTTGGATATGATACCAGAAGCATAAGCAACAAATGCAAAATTCAATATGTGGGACTACAACAAACTAAAAAGCTTCTGTACAACCAAAGAAACAATCAGAAAAATAAAAAGACAACCTATGGAATGGAAGAAAATGTTTGCAAACCATATATCTGATAAGGGTTAATATTCAAAATATATAAGGAACTCATATAACTCAGTAGCAAACAGAAAAATCCAACAGCCTAATTAAAAAATGAGCAAAGGCTTTGAAGACATTTTTCCAAAAAAGACATAAAAATGGCCAATAGGTATGTGAAAAAGTGCTCAGCATCACTGATAGTCAGGGAAATGGGAATCAAAATCACAATGAGTTATCACCTCACATCAGTTAGGATGGCTATTACCAAAAAGACAAGAAATAATTGCTGGTGAGGCTGTGGAAAAAGGGGGACCCTTCTGCACAGTTGGTAGGAATGTAAATTGGTGCAGCCCATGTGAAAAACAGTATGGAGGCTCCTCAATAAAGTAAAAATAGAACCACCATATGGCAATGCAAAATCCTACTTCTGGGTATATGTTCAATGGAAATGAAAAAAGAATATTGAAGAAATGTCTATATTCTCCTGTTTATTGCAGCATTATTTGTAAGACATGGAAACACCCTAAGTGCCTATCAGTGGGTGAGTGGATTAAGAAAGATGTGGTATATACTGCATTGTACAGTAAAATATTATTGAACCTTAAAGAAGAAAAATCTTGCTTTTTGTGACAACATGGATGGGCCTTGATGATATTATGCTAAGTGAAATAAGTTAGACAAAGAAAAATATTTTCTCACTTACATACAGAATTTTTAAAAGCTGAATAAATCGTAGAAACAGAGAAGAGAATGGTGGTTGCCAGGGGCTTGGGGTTAGGAGAAATGGTACAAACTCCCAGCTATAAGGTAAGTAAGATCTGGGGATCTAATGCACAGGTGGCAACTATAATCATCAATACTGTATTGTATATTTGGAAGTTGCTAGAGAGTATATCTTAAATGTTACCACCACATACACACACAAATCATAAACATATAAAGAAACGGAGCTATTAACTAACATTATTGTGGTAATCATTTTACAATATATATGTGTATTTAATTACATGCATAGTTTAAATTTACATGTTTTATATTTCAATAATATCTCAATAAAGCTAGGGAAAAAATAAGGCAAAAGAGTCAAATCTTAAAGGAAATGATGAGAATCTGTTTTTTCTTAAAGCTGATAATTTTGATGCTGAGTGGTTCTGGCCTCTCTCGCATGGTAGGAAATAGTGAAAGCTCACTGCGACGTTATATGCCTTGAGAATGTCAGTGTAGAGCACATCTGAGAAAATCTTCCGTCTTAGGCCCAGTGTGGGGTGACTGTGAGGCAAGAGCAGAGCCTCTTGTGGAGTCTCCAATTTACCATCCCATGCATAGTTTCAGTTATTGTCTTACTGAGCTTTTCTGTTGCATTTAGTTGAGGTCGGCTGGCTCCCTCTGTGTGCCCTTTTGGCTTTCGCATTGTCCTTTATACACTGCATTTGTATTTTTGCTTTCCTGTGCACTTATTCCCTCTAAAGCCAGGAGACATTCTGGACCTATCCCAACTCTCTTGCTAAACACTCTCATATTAAAAAATTTTTTTAAAAAAGAAAGGATGTTTCTAATTCCTGTTGATTTTACTTTCTGATCATTTCTCTATTTCTCTCCCTGTTTTCCCTGCCCCTGTTAAGCCTTCCAACGTAATTATGACAAGTTTACTAGCTAGTTTCCCTTCCTCTTGTGTCTACCTTCTGAAATCTGCCCATCTCATTTCTGACAAAGTAAGGCAATCAGAATACGATTTTGTCCCGCTTGCTCTTGCACTGGAAGCAACTCAGAAACGTGATGTTATCTTCACTACTATTTTCTCAGTATGGATTTCCTTACCTCCCATTCCAGCCTTACTACCTACTACCTGCTTGTGTTTTATGATCTAGTTTCATAAGTTTCATTGCTTCATTTCACTGTTTCGTGCTGCTTCGTGCTTTGGTGTTTATATTCTTTTCCTTTTGCCTGAATCTTCCCTCTTTCTTTACTTACCTGGTTAATTTATGCTCAAGCTCTAGCACGCATCTCATGTGGCATTTTCCCCATGACAACTTCCCTGAATCGTCTAAATAAGCGAGATGCCCCTCTGCTGACTTCAAGAGCCTCTCTGCATATTTCTGCCTTAGCACTTGCCTTATGTTGGTTGCATTTCGTTAGACCATAAGCTCCCTGAACACAGGTTGATGCAGTACTTACTTTGTTCCTCTAATGCCCAGCACTGTGCCAGTCACAGAGTAGATTTGTATGCCTTCTGATGTGGCATTTCAAGCTCTCATGCCTAACTTACTGTTGTTCTCTGAGCGACACAGAAGTATTATAGCAATTCTGGATATTGTCAACATAAACATATGTGCATATTTATCTAACCAATGCATAATATAACCATTTTATTCTTAGAAAATATTTAGGTTCTTAATAATTACAATTTATAATAGGTCTAAAGGCATTTAAAGCTACCTATGAATTCCCTTTGTTTTTACAGGCAGGATATAAAAATATCAAAGTGTAATACTCAGCTTTTTCATTTTTTTGTTTTCCTGCAGATTGCTGCCAATTCCTGGGGAAAGTCTTGGGGAGAGAACGGCTATTTCAGGATTCTTCGAGGAGTAAATGAGTCTGACATTGAAAAGTTGATTATTGCAGCCTGGGGCCAACTGACAAGTTCAGATGAACCATAACATGTTATTAAGTTTCCAGAGGCCATGCACTGAAGTAACCCTTTAAATTGAAATTAAGCAATGTGAGGTTCTCTGTGACAGTGGGCTCTCTGCCTCTTCACCTTGTTATTATAATCTACCTGTTTTCCTGTTTTATCCCAGGCTCTATGCTCCTGCTTTCTTGACTCTCCTGAGTATATGAAGACACTGAGAGAACAGCAGAGTGGCTTCGTGCCTTTAACATTCCCTGCTTGTCTTTATTCTAATGACAATGTCCTTTTTGACTTTGCTAGTTCACAGTGTGATGGCACGTGTCTGAAAAGTTCATTGCATTCACTTGTAAACCATATGGCTTCTCTCTTTGACCAATGAGGACTTTAGACAACAAAAACAATGGAAACACCAATTTACCATCTTTGCGATTTTTTTCAACCAAATAATGCCTCCTTAATTCAGAGCTTGTTTATGTTTTTGTCAAAAGCAATGGAAATAGATTATTGTTTCTCCCAATAAGATAATATTTTGTTTAATTTGCCTAAACCTAATTTGCAATCCAAACACAAAAGGAAAGTAACTCTCTACAGCAAATCACTACCCCTTATGGTTCTGTGTAATGGCGTGTAATGTGGAGGTGAAGTAGTGGAAAACCTTAGAGGCTAACAACAGAAGTACACTTTTGACACATAGATACCCCAAATTTTTTGGAGCCAGTACACTTTGTGTAAAGTCTATTAAAATCAGCTGCAAAGTTGTATTTGAAAAGATAACATATTTGGAAAGATAACATGATGTCACGAGTCAGATGGAATAAATACACTTTATGACAATCCTTTTACAGTTCACTGCTTGAGATTCTAAAGTCAGCTAAGTTCGCACTAATTTGCATCTAACTTTTAGTTTTCTATAGTCAGAGAAAAAATAGCATCATTGTATGTTGGTCAGGGAAAGAATATATGTTTTCATAACTCACTGGCATCTCGAATGGCAAACTAATAAATGAAGAAGCAGAGCTGGTCAGTAAGTGAGCATGGCCTTTGTTGCCGGGACTTTTTCATCTTCATTTTCAGCGTGGGGCTTTCGTATGTCATTGTGCTCAAAGGTGCCCTGATTGAATAAGCCAGATGTGCTGAACATGGGACGAAGCAGAGCACAGAGAGCCGAAGTGTTGCTGCAACTGTTGTTTTCTCCATTAATCCACTGCAGCTTTATCCATGTGGTTCCTCCTTGCAAAATATGCATGAGGCTGATTCACTTTGTTGAGACTGGCTGATGACCCCCGGAGAGTTCAGAAATAATTTGATTTTGTTTCACTTTGGGTTCCTTTAGATGCAGCCCCTTACATAAGATTTTGAATGCAAATTGTGGGTGAAAGGAACACGGGAAGGGAGAGGGGCAGTGACACAGGGTAGTGAAGTGAAGGTGGACAGAAAAAGTGCATTAACAGCAAAGCACCACCACAGGTGACTAGTTCTTACCCCTGTGGGGACTGTTGATACATTCCTCAGCTATATGCCGCCCAAGAAAGAAGTGCGTTGGTTGAGAGCTGCTCCTGGGGTCTGTGAATTCCCTGGTGGTTCTGATCTGGCATAAGGGTGGGAAAAGCAGGTTCCAGTGTGAAGAAAAAGACCCACAGGCAAAGAAAAGCAGGTTCTGGTACTTGGATATCAGGTTGATATCCACTGAAATGTCCCAGGTGAGGTGACACCCGAAGGGCACCAACAGTGTTTCTTCTAAAGGTGTTAAAACATTTTCAGAACATTCCTTAGATGCTGAAGACTGAAGAAGTAATACATAATAATGTACTAAAATGTCAGATGACTAAACATTGCTTTTAAAAACATTTAATGGGTTTAAGTTGATCCAGTCTGTCCTTGTTATGTAAATAGACAAAAGTTGTTGGAACTAACTTTCACATTGTGTTGTATGGTTCTAGATTGTAGGCCTAGATCCTGCTGTTTAAAAATTTCCTACTGTTCTAACTATCCCAACTGGTGAAAAAACTGATCCCACTGATTTGAAGAAAAAAGAAAGAAAATATAACAATAGTAAGCCCCATGGGAAGGCACAAGGTATGTTAGTTCAGCAATTACAGGCTAAGAGCTGACGGAGAAACAGAGACTACAGGGGTACCTTGGTTTTCTAATGTAATCTGTTCTGGAAGCCTGTTGGAGCTCTGAAACGTTTGAAAACCAAGGAATCCACAGCCCACAGCCGGGCCTCAGGACCTTGCCCTCAGTGGAAGCCGTGTGGCATGTTCGACTTCAGAGGCGAGTTCGAAAACCGAAGCATTTACTGCCAGGTTTACAGCGTTCGTAAACCAAAATGTTCGTCCACAGAGACGTTCAAACACCGAGGTGCCACTGTATTTGGGACAGTAGTGTAAGGGAATAAGAAAAATATTATTCAGCTTGTTGGCTTGTTGAGTCAATATTTTCCTTTGAATGATTTTGCTTTTTTATTTTTACAACTTTAAAGAGCATGTTTGGTTCTATTTATTATCCAAAGGCCCTGAGTTGTCAACCTTCAGAAAATACTAACTGGCATATTCCTTTGCCCACTCTAGGGACTGAGGAACTATTTGTAGAATTGATTTGACTGATGACTAGATAGATGGCTTTTTTTAGCCTGTATATATCCTACTCACCTCAGCTTGGACTGAATAATGGGAAGGACCATACATCTAGTGCATATGTCTTTAGAGTCCCTGTCTCTGTTTGCATGTATGGGGTTTTAGTTTTTTGTGTTAAGAATATATAAGAAAAAAAATTGCCCACAAAGATCATTTAACTCAGCCAGGACAATATGTCTCAACTTGGGTAGTACTATCAGCACTGAGATCTGGTTTTCTTCCTTTTCAATCAGAAATATGTGCCATTTATGTGAGTTAGATGAGTTTCAGTTAAAACTGGTTATTGTATGTAGGTTTTCCAGGAAAAAGAGAAAATAGTCCCAATATAGCCCGTTGAATCAAAGCTTGACCGCTCCACTCAGTTAAATAATGCTTTTTTCTTTAGGTTTCATTAGAAAATGTACACAAGGAAGAAGTAGGGACAACCTTGAAGACTGGACTCTGCCCTTTTCTGCTTCCCAATGTTTGTCTTTCTCATTCTTAACAATGAAAAGACTCCCCCAGGTTTGCACAATGCACATTCACAAATTCTCTTAAAAAGAGCCTACAATGGAATGAAGTCAGTTGGTATTTAGCCAGATAGAAAACATTTTAAGTGTTTCCCGCAGAAGGAATACAATGAAAGGAATCGGTTACTTAGGCGATGGAGGAGCAGAGAAGGCAGTAGAGGGTGGTCAGTGAATCCAGACAGGAGCCATGGTGAGATGCTCCCCTCACCTGAGGCTGAGGGGGTGAAGCGAGAAGGCGGGCTCCTGGAATGTCGCAGCCGGTGTTTTCCTGGAGGTAGCTGGAAGCATGACTGGCCTGCCAGGTAAGAAGACGTGGTGCTGCCAAATTTGCCAACTGAGTCAGGGAGGAAGGGGAAGAGACACTGAGGCTTCTCCTTTTCTTATGCCTCACAAACTCTCCTCACTGCCTCTCCTTGGCTGACCTGCTAAAAGACAGTAGATTCAGAAGTTTATGAAATTAAGCTGTTGGGGTCAACCTCCACCCATTATCTGATACAAAGGAGAACAGGATAAGGGCAAGGACTGAATAAGAGGGTAAACATAGAAAATGAATTTTTTATTCATCCCATGGAGATATGAGAAATTAAATTTATGTAAATGAATAGTTTCTCAGTGATCAATTAGCTCATAAGCTCAGTCCCTGGGTTAATACACATGTTTTAAGTGCTTTAATGTTTACTATTACATGTCCTTTTTTGGGGGGAGAGTTAAAATCTTTTGATCTATAGGGAATACATTATAATCTACATATGAAAAGACTTTTTCCCACTTTAGTTTCTAGAGACTCTAGTGTTTTATCACCATTGCCTGTCAGAAAGATTGTTGTGATGATCTGATCTCAGGACTTTTATTACTTTTTTGTTGTGTGTGTGAAAGTTTATTCTATTTTAAAAGCAAAAAAGAATAAAGAGAGTAGTATGCCACAAATTACTTTTATAAGATGCTTTAAGAGAGAGAGAACATCAACACATCAGATGTTGTGTTGATGTCTCTGGAAAAACTCTTCTAAAGCATTCACAGACCTTCCTTCAGTGAAGTCAACAAAGGAGGGAAAAAATCTAACACTATCAAGAATGGGGTGATTGAATGAAGGGAAAAAGCTTCTCCATCTTCAGCCATGAACACTATTGAACATCATTTTGTTACCATATATGATAGAAATGCTTAAAAAATTATTTACAGATACATCCAGTAAAATGGATATACTTTCTCCTCAGAGACACCATCTGTAAGAACATCATTATTAGAAAAAGAATTGACAAAGAACTGTCACCTCTATCACCTGTGAGGCAAGCTGCTAATTCTGTTTCTTCCGAGATTATAAGGGGAAACGTGTCTAGTTATATAGAATTTAAGGTTTATCTGGTATTACATCCACCATTTTAAATATCCACAATTCCAGGCTGCTGAGAAGTCCTGCAACAAAGTTTGACAAAGCTCTTCCTCGATTTCAGCCCTCACGCATCATGAGCAGGTACTATTCCGTGGTGATCAACAGGTACAATTATGTACAGTGGGTCCACATATGACCAAAGACCCTTTTCTCCCCAGAATTCCCATTAAATCCCATGTTATCTAGTCAGTATTTTTTTATGTGCTTCTCATGTGCACGTAGCCACTGTGCTAGGTGCTAGATAAATAGCAAGAGGACCCATAGGAGAGACAGCGCTGGCCTTGTCTCATTTCACAAATTATTCTTTTGTAAAACACCCTCTGGCAGATACTGACCTAGATACAGTTTTGAATAATAAGGCCCATAATGTACTCTTAGGGAGAAGTTTGCATACCCTAACCTCTGACTTCTAATATTGCAGGGAGCATTTATCTTTCTCTACAAATCAACTCTGGTGCCACTCTCTGAATACAACCACGGGCTGGTTGTCTCTGAGGCCAGTCTGAAATGTCTTATGCTAGTGCCCTGAGGTACAAAGTCAAAGACTGTTGTATATGAGTGCCATTAAAGTATGTGAGAGAAGTATGCTTCATGAAATGTGCTTTAAGGAGAGCCCAAGATTTCAGTGATCCTTATTTCAAAATTATTCTACACTTATTCTGTGAAG